TTTGAAAATCAGACCTGTAGGATATGCTGACCTGTAAGATGTTTGGTAAATTTGTGTGGGGCCCATGGCATAGCATCTTAACAAGAAGTTGAGTAAGCTTGTAGATGTTAGGAGCAAAAGCATTTTTCTATAATTGTGATCTACGTAGTCGTCACTGTTTTTTAAGTGAATTTTTACTTATTGAGGATCCAAACTACTGTTTAATTCTCAGGCTATCAAAAAGTGCATGTTGCTGTCCTACAGATCGGAATGATTCACATTTGTGGCCACTGCCATATCCGCTGATCAGCATGCGCCACCCTCCCTCCTCCTTTGATATTAAGCTCTGAGACCTTTCGCAATGACTGCAGTTGTAATATTGCATTGCTTTGACTCCGTTCCTCTCATACAGTATGCTGCACATCAACAGCTTTCATAACAAGTGCTTCACACTAGGTCACCGGACACATCAATAACCGAGGACAACATTAGTAGTATTACCTTGATGCATATGTACAAGTGGGTTACTAAAACAGACTAGGAAATTAAGTTGCCCTCAAGAATCATGAAGTATAGAAGTAGTTAGTACTGAAGCAATTAAGTTGTGCTCTATTTGGCAGAGTGATATGAGTAGTGGAACATTTAGTGATAAAGTTATGTAGAATGATCCCGAGAAAAACAACTGCTTAGCAGAACCTGTTATGCCAAATTTTCATGATTTTTATATTGTGTACGACATACACTGCAAAGTGGCTCGTTGGCCTATATCATGGAAAAAATACTACGTAGCTTTAACACTATGAATTTTAGAAAATTGTATGAAAATGAGTAGTTATTGCCTGAAGGCAGTCATTTAAAAACAAAAACAGTGCAGTATTTTAGACTAAGTATGTACTTATATATGTAAAATTTTGAAAGGTATGGTTGCTAATATAAGTGTTTCTGGAAATAATTACATTGACCCAACTTATTGAGGATTAAAGTGAAGATAAATTCAGTGACTTGGTTGAGCGGTTGCTGCATAGATAGTAGTTAAAAGGTTTCAAACAGCAAAATGTATAGGAGTTTTGAATACTAGAGCAAATGAAGCCATAGTCTACTGAGTAGAGTGAAATGAATAGTGGTATGATTAGGAGTAAAGGTAGGTCGAACGGACTTGAGGAATATAGTTGGTTGGCTGGGCTTATTATTGCTAAGTTTTCATGATCACTTTTCATATAGCATGCTTTAGACATTACAGAGTACCAGTTTACTTACATTATGGAGAAACGGTTACAACCACTTTAGAATTACATGTCCAGGATAACTATAGATAGTCTTATGACTCTGTGAACCCGTTTGATGAGATATTGTTAGGATTTCTAATGAGCTGAATAACCAAACCTTAGGCCAAGCACTGCGGGAAACATCGGGCTAGTGTTATCATGTTCTAGATGCGGTACGATGGCTGCGATAATTAAATTTCCTTAGATCTGGGATATTCCACTGGGGTCTGTAGTACCAAAATTAGTCGAGCAACCTATATGGGTGAAGTAAGGATAAGTGGACTGAAGAACTTTTGTTGACAGGAACTCATTAAGGAGTCGTTGGAATTCAGTTGGAGATCGGCAACTACGTACAGTAAGTGAAAATTCGTTGCGTGAAGCACTGTACTGCATTTTGAAGGAGCGCGAACGCAGTTTTGTCGAGTACCTGGTTATAGGTAGAGTATTTTCATGATTCCTAAAGGCATACATAGTTGTATCGTTGAAAGCTATTCCATTACTGCTTTCGATGCAGCCGTGTGGAAAGCAACAGAGGAATGTTAGGTTGAGTTTCAGGCGCCTTGACTAATGTAGCTGAAGTCAATATTTTGCACTTATCCGCGTAAGTCAGCTCTTCATGCTATGTCATAGACGTCGCTTGAAGCTTCACTGGATATTTTCAATACGAAACCTACTATACCCATGCATAATACCGGAGATGATTGTGCAGTATTCGAG